GCTTGTATATTTTTGAGATTAATCCTTTGTCTGTTGCTTCATTTGCTATTATTTTCTCCCAATCTGAGGGCTGTCTTTTCACCTTGCTTATAGTTTCCTTTGTTGTGCAAAAGCTTTTAAGTTTCATTAGGTCCCATTTGTTTATTTTTGCTTTTGTTTCTAAAATTCTGGGATGTGGGTCATAGAGGTTCCTGCTGTGATTCATGTCGGAGAGTGTTTTGCCTATGTTCTCCTCTTAGGAGTTTGATAGTTTCTGGTCTTACATTTAGATCTTTAATCCATTTTGAGTTTATTTTTGTGTATGGTGTTAGAAAGTGTTCTAGTTTCATTCATCAGGTGCTTTTCAAACTGCTGCTTTTGTGCTGGGTCCTGGGGTCAGTGAATGTGCAGAAGCTCTTTCAGAGCACTTTCCCTTCCCTACCAACTTTATTGTCTCCTGGAAAGCAGCCCCATTGGTGTTTAGATCCATGCACTTTGGTGACATCTCTCTGGTGTAGATCCTAAGGGCTTGTGTGCATGATGTAAGGTACAAACCCATTTTACTTAGTGAAAATGTGAGATCCTGCCCACTGGTGCGTTACCAACACCAGGAGTGGGGTATTCAAAGAGACCACATCTCTGCTTTTCCTGCCATTTTTATGTGATCTTATAAATCTTTGCCATGGAGGAAATATTCACCTAGGTTTGGGGTCTTTTTCAGAAGAAATTGATCCACATACAGCTGTTGATTTGGTGTGTTCATGGGTCATGGTGAGTTTAGAATCTACCTATGCTACCATCTTGAACCACCTCCCCAAACATTTAATGTTAGCCAAATAAGACTCATTTCAAGCTTCTGATATCTGAACTGTAAGTGTATGTATTTGTTTACTTTAAGCAACTAGAGTTGGAGTATTTTACAATAGCAGTAGGAACATAATATAGACTTTTTTATATGGTAATGCAAGTTTCCATGTTACTCTTTCCATACATCTCACCCTGTGGTCCTCTCTCCCCATTTCCATAAGTTTATTCTCTGTGTCTGTTTCTCCACTGCTGCCCTGTAAATAACTTCTTCAGTGCTATTTTTCTAGATTTCGTATATATGTGCTAGAACACAGTATTTACCTTTCTCTTTCTGACTCACTTCACTCTGTATAATAGGTTCTAGGTTCATCCAACTCATTAGAACTGACTCAAATGTGTTTCTTTTTATGGCTGAGTAATATTCCATTGTGTATACATACCACAACTTCTTTATCCATTCATCTGTCGATGGACATCTAAATTGCTTCCATGTTCTGGCTATTGTAAATAGTGCTGCAGTGAGCAATGGGATACACATGTCTCTTTCAATTTTGGTTTCCTCAGGGTATATGTCTAGGAGTGGGATTGCTGGGTCTTATGGTGGTTTTATTCCTAGAATTTTAAGGAATCTCCATATCATCTTTCATAGTGGCTGTATCAATTTACATTCCCACCAATAGCGCAAGGGTATTTTTGATGAGGGCCACTCATCATTTTGATGAGGGTCAGTACTTTTTGATGAGGGTCATTCTGACCAGTTTTAGGTGATATCTCATTGTGGTTTTGATTTGCATTTTTCTAATAATGAGCGATGTTGAGCATCTTTTCATATGTTTGTTAGCCATCCGAATGTCTTCTTTGGAGAAATGTTTGTTTAGGCCCTTTTCCCACTTTTTGATTGGGTTGTTTGTTTTTCTGATATTGAGTTGTATGAGCTGCTTATATATTTTGGAAATTAGTCCTTTGTCAGTTGCTTCATTTGCTGTTATTTTCTCCCATTCTGAGGGTTTTCTTTTCACCTTGCTTATAGTTTCCTTTGCTGTGCAAAAGTTTTTAAGTTTAATCTCACTTGTTTACTTTTGTTTTTAATTTTGTTACTCTAGGAGGTGGGTTGTAGAGGATCTTGCTTTGATTTATGTCACTGAGTGTTCTGCCTATGTTTTCCTTTAAGAATTTTATAGTTTCTGGTCTTAAATTTTGGTATTTAATCCATTTTGAGTTTATTTTTGTGTATGGTGTTAGAAAGTGTTCTAATTTCATTCTTTTACATATAGCTGTCCAGTTTTTCCAGCACCATTTATTGAAGAGGCTGTGTTTTCCCCATTGTATATTCTTGCCTCCTTTGTCAAAAGTAAGGTACCCATAGGTGCATGGGTTTATTTCTGGGCTTTCTATTTTGTTCCATTGGTCTATATTTCTTTTTTGAGGCAATACCATACTGTCTTGATGACTGTAGCTTTGTAGAATAACCTGAAATCAGGAATCTTGATTCCTTCAGCTTCAATCTTCTTTCTGATAATATAGACATTTTGCCAATAAAATTTGCTCTCTAGAATTAACTTTAAGCCTCTTCATTGGCTTACCTTGGTTAAGGGCATTTTATGTTGAAAATCCACATTAAGTAGAAAAAAAATTGAAATTAAATTAAAGGTATTCTATGCTATTAGTGAATTCTTCATTGCATAAATATTAATTTTTCCTGACTATGATGTCCTCATAACTTTAAGATAGGATAAGTAATCTATTATGAAAAAGAAGTTACCCATTTGACTTTAAATTTTTGTGCTTAGATTTCTACATCTTTATGCTTCTTGGTAATTCAGGTGTTCATTATTTTCGTATCTATCCTTTCCAACATTCTGTCAAGTTTCCTATTACCATAAAAGATAGAATCCTAATTGTGTTTGTATGTGTGTATGTGTGTGTACGATTATGCCAGTTTCAAAGAAAACTGTATGAAACACACTCATATAAACACAAAAATATTTTATTTGCACAAAATATGAACTTCCACACATTTCATTTATTTCTTACAGCATCCATATGAAGTTTTATTTAATATTCCACATTAACTTCAGAAATAAAGAAATTGAGCCTCGGGGAGCTTAAAGTTTTCACAATTACATGCAAAGCAGTTAAATATATGTGCACTGTATTATTATGCACAAATGGAAATATGCAGTACATTTTGTTAGTCTTTTTATAACTCTTATAATTCATCAAATTGTGCACTTTAAATCTGCAGTTATTGTGTCCCATCTTTCTGCAGTCACCCTCCCTCCCCGCATCCCACCTCTCTAGGTCATCACAGAGTGCCGGCTGGACTCCCTGCGCTACATAGCAACTTCTCATCACCTATCCATTTTACACATAGTAGTGCAGATATGTTGATGTTGGTTTCTCAATTCGTCCCACTCCCTCCCTCTTTCACTGTGTCCACAAGTCCACTGAAACAGGTCTTTGAGAAGAAATTATTTTTAAGAAATCAGAGCTGTCCCATGTAAGATACTGGAAAATTTTCAAACATTTCTGATTTAAACTTGGGAAAAACTTTGGGCATGTGTGAATATGGACAAAGGGGAAAATGTCTATATAAGATATGGAGTAGAAGGTTAATAAAGTGAATGACAAATTGTGTAGAGGTGTTGAATTCAAGGAAATGGTTATTGAAGTAAATAAATAGAAGGAGAAAGTTCTACTTCAACAATCAAAACAGTGAGGTACCACTTCACACTGTCAGAATGGGCATCATTAAAAAGTCTACCAATAAAAAATACTGGAGAGGGTGTGGACAAAAGGGAACCCTCCTGCAATGTTGATGGGCATGTAAATTATTGGAGTCACCATGGAAGACAGTATGGAGGGTCCTCAAAACAGTAAAAACAGAATTGTCGTATGATCCAGCAATTCTACTTCTAGGCATATATCCAAGGAATACTGTAATTTGAAAAGATACATGCACCCTAATAGTCATTGTAGCACAATTTACAATAGCCGAGACATGGAAACAATCTAAAAGTCCATTGACAGATGAATAGATAAAAATGTGGTATATATAAATACATACACACATGTTTATCTCCACTCCTTGGAGAAGGGAGTGACAACCCACTTCAGTATTCTTGCCTGGAGAATTCCACAAACAGAGGAGTCTGACAGGATACAGTCCATAGGGTCACAAAGAGTTGGACATGACTGAGAAACTAGAACCACCACCACCACCACTGTATCCACACACACACACACACACACACACACACACATATACAAAATACATAATGAAGTACTACTTAGACATAAAAATAATGAAATAATGCCATTTTCAGCAACACAGATAAACCTAGATATTATCATAGTATGTGAAGTATGTCAGAAAGATAAAGAAATATACCATATGATATCACTTATACGTGGAATCTAAAATTACCTATGAAGCAGACTCACATACATAGAGAATAGAATTATGGTTGCCAAGGAGGAGAGGGTTCTGGAAGGGATGGATTTGGGGTTTGGGGTTAGCAGAGGCAAACTATTGTGTATTAAATGGATGAACAACAAAGTCCTATAGTGTAGAGCACAGGGAACTATATTCAATGTGTGTGAAAGTTCCTCAGTCGTGTCCGACTCTTTGCAACCCCATGGACTATACAGTCCATGGAATTCTCAAGGCCAGAATACTGGAGTGGGTAGCTGTTCCCTTCTCCAGGGGATATTCCCAATCCAGGGATTGAACCCCGGTCTCCCACGTTGCAGGTGGATTCTTTACCAGCTGAGTCCCAGGGAAGCCCAAGAATACTGGAGTGGGTAGCCTACCCCTTCTCTAGCAGATCTTCCCAACCCAGGAATTGAATCAGGGTTTCCTGCACTGCAGGTAGGTTCTTTACCAGCTGAGCTACATAGGAAACTTACTATATTCGATATTCTTTTGCATCATGTTTTTGATGGAGGAGCCTGGGAGGCTGCCATCTGTGGGGTCACACAGAGTCGGACACAAGTGAAGCGATTTAGCAGCTGTATATATATATACACACACGCACATACATATATATATATATATATATAACAATCACTTTGCTGTACAGTAGAAAATGATACAACATTGTAAATCAACTATACTTCACTCAAATAAATTAAAAAAAAATGAAGAATAGCACCTTCTGCTTCTGAGGTTTTGAGCCCTACAATCATGAGGACAGCCCCAGGACAATTGGACCTTATATAACTGACATTCCAGTGATTCTTTTCAAAGCCCCCTTTATGTCTTTATTTCTGAGACTGTAGATGAAGGGGTTCAGCATGGGTGTGACCACTGTGTACATCACTGAGGCGATTGCACTTGAGTGTGAGCTGTAGGTACCTGTGGAGCTAAGGTACACTCCCAAGATAGTACAATAAAATAAGGAAACAATTGAGAGGTGAGATGCACAGGTAGAAAATGCTTTATACTTCCCATGGGCTGATGATATTCCTTGTATGGAGGAAACTATCTTAGAGTATGAGTAAAGAATACCAGTGAGGGAAGCACCACCCAACATCCCAGCTGCAAAATACATCACCATGTCGTTCAGAAATGAGTCAGAACAGGCAAGTCGAACCACTTGATTAATTTCACAGAAAAAATGGGGGATTTCCACGTCTTTACAGAAGGACAGCCACAACATCATTAAGCTTTGGCTTAAGGAATTCAGGGCACTCATCACCCAGGACAGCAGCACCAGCAGTCCACAGAGCCGGGGATTCATGATGACCATGTAGTGCAGAGGCTGACAGATGGCCAGGAAGCGATCATAGGCCATCACAGTCAGGAGGAAGTTTTCCAGTGCAGCAAAGAATAGGAAGAAGTATATCTGGGTGATGCAGCCTTCATAAGTTATAACTTTGCTCTGTGTCTGTATATTATTCAACATCTTTGGGATGGTGGTGGAGATGAAACAGATGTCTACAAAGGACAGGTTGGAGAGGAAGAAGTACATAGGGGTGTGGAGATGGGGGTCTGAGCTGACAGCCAGGATGATGAGCAGGTTTCCGAACACAGTGGTCAGGTACATGGAGAGGAAAAGCCCAAATATGAGAGGCTGCAGTTCTGGTTCATTTGATAATCCCAGAAGAAGAAATTCTGAAATTTGTGTATCATTCACTGGTTCCATGTGGTGGAGATGGCTACCAGGCAAAAAAATCAACATGACTATGTTTCTCAAAAATCACAATTGGAAATCTGATTGAATTTTACAATATATACTTTGCATTAGAAGTCAGTATCCATAATTTGGTATGGAACTTTCCCCTTCAAGGCATGCTTTTGCGCCTTCTTATTGTGCATCCATCCTTTTTTCCAGGTGGTCAGATATTCTACACTTTTAATAAGAAGTTAATGTGACACATTTGAGGAATGTCAGTTGAGGTCTAACCAATATCTAGGAAAAAAGTACAACAGGCTCTACTGTTCTTCAATAATGGAGAAAAAATATAAAGGAAAAAATCATACAAATTTTCATATGGTGACAGATGAACAAAAACAAATCAAGTATAACAAAATGGTTAAAGGTATATTATTTTTTACTCAGTCATTGAGTTAGACTGGAAAATATTTGATTGGAGACCTCATGGAAAAGCGGGTGGGAGACGTGAGGTTATCTGGTTGAAGGTTGAAGTGTGTGCTGGTTGGAGTGAAAAGCCAGGGTGAAGGACTTGAAAAGCAGTTGTTTCAGAAAGTCAAGGTTAAAAAGTAAGCCACTGTGTCAAGGGAAATGTGCAAGATGGAGAGTGATACTAGATAGTGTCAGAGAATTTGGAGGAATGAGGTGTCCTTCCTGCTACAGCTGAGACTTCAAGTCACAGGGATCTTAGTTCACCATATTTTTAGCTGCATTTTATTAATTTTGTTTCCAAGAGATCCAGTGATTAGAAGTGAATCCCTTCCTTATTATACTTTCTTTTTTTATAATTTATTTTTATATATTGGTTTATATTATAAGGACCTCATACTGAAGCCCTTATACATGGACTTGGGCTTCCCAAGTGGCTCCAGTGGTAAAGAATCCATCTGTCAGTGCAGGAGACATAAGAGGCACGGGTTCAATCCCTGGATCAGGAAGATCCCCTGGAGAAGGGAATGGCAACCCACTCCAATATTTTTACCTGGAGAATCCCATGGACAGAGAAGCCTGGCAGGCTACAGCTCATAGGGTCACAAAGAGTAGGACATGACTGAAGCAGCTTAGTACGCGCGTATGCATACATGGCTTCAGGTATCCCTTTTCTGCCTTGGGAACTGTTCATGCTCCACAACATGCATGCTTGCGCACTCACACACACACACACACACACACACACACACACACCCCTACTGGAGTGATACTAGTACCAGTACACTCTCAGCCGCAATAATTAGGAAAACAATGACACAATGCAAGCTGTCAATGTTTTGTCAATGTCAGTGATTACCTTTCCTGCAAAACTGTAGTGATAGTACCTAAATTCCAGTCGCTAAGTCTCCCATGGACCTGTAAACTTGGGTGGGCCTCCTTTAAACATGGGTGGGCCTCCTTTTTAACATGATCATTTTATGTCCAGTATTCAAAGAAAAAGAAAATATCACTTTAAAAACCTGAGAGGGGGAGAAAAGGACATGTAAGGGGAAAAAAGTTCTAATAAACTTAAGTAATCTGTAGAGTTTGTGTTGAGTATAAAGCTTCCTTAGTTTTGGTGACATTCTAGTCCCTGTTCTATCCCCATGTTACCCAGAATAGCAAAGCAGCAAAAAGCATTTTACCTAAAAAAGAAAGAAGAGATGTATTTATGTTATCAAATATCTGACAGTTTTCCCACTAGGAAAATGAGCAAAGGAAATAAGTCCACAATTCACAAAGTGAAATAAAGTTCAACAAAAGTGAAGAATTTAAAGAATGATCTGGTAAAAGAATTTCTAAGTGATATCAGCTGTAAAACTTTTGTAGTTTGAAATTCTAGATTTACATTTTGGATCTGCACATATTTATTGTTTGAACTTGGAGAGCCACTGGAACCTTCTAAATATTAATATTATTATTCAAGTTATTGGGATAGTAGTACTCACAATAAGATAGCTGACATATTTAGTCAATATATAAAAAAAGTTTAGAATAATTCCTTCCTGGTAGTAAATGAGAGATTTACATCATCTCTGGTGATGAGATTCGACTGATTTTTCTCTTCTTCCTCTCAAATGTTTCCATTGCTTTCCCACATCTTAGTCTCCAATCCCCAGCCTTCTTTCAGTTTCCGATCATCTTTCCCACCTATCACAGGATGGTATAGGACCCTCTATCCAATATTCACATTAATCTAAAGAAGTCTTTCTATATTACAAAGCTGACTGTCCAACTCCCTTACCTAACTCTCCCCAGTGACTCCCCAATAGGGAATGGACCCCAAATTCTATACCTTCAAACCCCAGCCTTGATTTTCCCTGAATTAACCACCAACTTTACACTCATGCTGCCCTTACTCACCTTCATCTCATAAATATTTAACTTGAGCCACAGATTCACTAGATGCCACAGGCTCGAGTCTCAGAGGGTATATACACCTGTTCCCTCTGCTTGAAGACTCAATCACTGGTCTATCTGGAGTTTTTTCACTTATCTGTGTATTAAAAACTTCATCTCCTGTTTAGAGATGGAGTTTTGGACATCTCCTACATGAACTTTAAAATTATTCCCATAGAAAAAGGACAGTTTGTCTAGTGATAATTTAGATAAAAGGTTATCATTGTGTGATTTTTATTAATTCAATATTTTCATCTATACTGTGAGTGCCTTGAGTATGTATGATCAATATCATACATACTCCTCAATCCCCCCAAACTTAGTTTAGTTGGGAAAAATAGCTGAATAAATGCATTGTATATTGCATAAAACAATAAAAGAATATGTTCTCTCAGAAACTGCAGATGATTAGGGAAGAAAATGAAGCAGGTAAATGCTAACATAGGCATGGGAGGCATGCTAGAGGAATATTTTCCATATGCCAAGATTCAGATTTATTACAGTATTAGACTATAGTTTGTAAAAATAAAATAGGATATAACAAATTAAACATAGAAGAATAGAGTACATTGTATTAACACATGTCAGGAGTTGATTCTTTTTGTTCGGCTGTTCTTGTGTGTGTATGTGCATACACATTGGTGCATGTGGGCTAAGTCACTTCAGTCGTGTTTGACTCTTTGTGAACCTACAGACTATAGCCCCCCAGGCTCCTCTGTCCATGGAATTCTCCAGGCAAGAATACTGGAGTGAGTTGCCATGCCCTCCTCCAGGGGATCTTTCCGACTCAGGAATCAAGCACACATCTCTTATGTCTCCTGCATTGGCAGGTGGGTTCTTTACCAGTAGCGCCACCTGGGAAGTCACATGCACAGGTGTATTCCTTGGTTGCCTGTGCACGCAAGCTGGATCACATATAAAAGGTATGTTTTACTCTGGGACACATTCTGGAAAGCTTCTTATCCACTGCAGTTAATGCAAGAATACTTACAAGAGAGGCTAGTCCTTAAAAGGGTGAGAAGCAATGTGAATAGAGCTCAAGGGAAGAGTTTGGATACAGAGAGAACAGGCAGCACTGTGGGTGCGGAAGTCAGACTCCAGGGACCACAAACTGACTGCACTTTTATTCCTCCACTTGTCTCATTATGGTATTCACATTAGAACCTTGACTGAATTTTTATTCTGTATTTATTCCTGTGTATTTGACTACACTTATTTTTATACATTTCAAAGAATGGGGTAATAAGATAATGGATGAGGATGTCACGTCTCTCAGTTTTCTCATGTGGTATCATTGTCATTCTTGGACTTTGAGTTTGGATCTCTTTTTGCTAAAACCATGGGTCACATTTCACTTCTGTTTCTGATTCTTGTCCCAAAAGCAAAGACCTCCCCACAATATACTCTACAAAATCCTACCCATGCCACAAAACTTACTTATTCCTTTCTCATTTGATTTATACCTAAGGACATTTTTGTCATACGTGCATTATTTATTATACTCTTCTTTCTCCATGAAAATATGAGATCCAAAGCAGAGACCTCACCTGCTTTTTTCACTCTAATGGTTTCATAACGGTGTGCATTTATACAGAAACAAATATTTTAGAAAATTAAATTTACAAAATAAAAAGACCACCAAGGGAAACAAAACCAGATTAAATGTACTGGATTCAAAACAAAGATATTAAGCAAAATAGAATGAGACAATAAAATGAACTTCTGAAAGAAAAATGTAAAGTAACAATAGTCACATTAACACAGGTTTTAAATATAATAATATGGGTAAAAATTTTCTAATAAAAGTAAATTTAAAAAAATAAAAAAAGAGAATAGAAAATGCAATTTAAAAAACAGGGCAGGAAGTTGTATCTAAAATTTTAATTTCAAGTTACACAAACATAAATGGATTAAGGTATGCTAATGAAAAACATATAAGCAATCTTTCAGTTCAGTTCAGTTCAGTCTCTCAGTCGTGTCCGACTCTTTGTGACCCCATGAATCACAGCATGCCCGGCCTCCCTATCCATCACCAACTCCTGGAGTCCACCCAAACCCATGCCCATCAAGTCGGTGATGCCATCCAGCCATCTCATCCTCTGTTGTCCCCTTCTCCTCCTGCCCCCAATCCCTCCCAGCATCAGGGTCTTTTCCAATGAGTCAACTCTTTGCATGAGGTGGCCCAAAGTACAGGAGTTTCAGCTCCAGCACCAGTCCTTCCAATGAACACTCAGGACTGATCTCCTTTAGGAAGCAATCTTTAATTGTATGCAAAAGCACATATTCCACAAGAAGTCAGCAAATAATTGCTCTTTTAAAAATAGACTACTCACAAAAGGCAAAAGGTGGCAGGAAAAAAAAAAAAACAAACATGTGAGATAATATGGTAATGCCTATAACAAGTGGTTTATCACTTCTATGGATGCATAGAAGGACTGCAAGAAAATCAAACTAGTCAATCATAAATGAAATCAGTCCTGAATATTCATTGGAAAGACTGATGCTGAAGCTGAAGCTCCAATACTTTGGCCACCTGATGTGGAAAGCTGACTCTTTGGAAAAGACCCTGATGCTGGGAAAGATTGAAGGCAGAAGGAGAGGGGAACAACAGAGGATGAGATGGTTAAATTGCATCACTGACTCGATGGACATGAGTTTGAACAAGCTCTGGGAGTTGGTGATGGACAGGAAAGCCTGACATGCTCCAGTCCATGGGTTTGCAAAGAGTTGGATATGACTGAGTGACTGAACTGAACTGAACTGAACTGATGGATGCATAAGAACTTTTGATGTTTAAAAAATCAGTGGGAAAGAGGATAAAATACAACCAATTAATAGATTTAAACATCCCAAACTTATAAGCTCTCATGCAACCCAACAACAGATATATTACATATACATACATGATTTAAATTGCAAAGAGCAAAAATTATTTTAAAAGAATTTGTAAATCTTTGTTTAAAGAAATGCAATTAAAAAACCAAGAATAAACAGAGAATGGGAAAGTGGTTGGAGCTTAGAGCAGTTTGGGGTGAAATGGTACCTGAGACACCTATATGTGAGGGACAGAGTGGGGAGAGAGAAGTTGTGTGTATCTATTTCAGCATAGAAGGCTTGTCAAGGTATTTAAAATACATCTCATTCTCCCCCTCATCCACACGTTGAAGTATAATTCCAGGCCTTTTCTCTCAGAGCTGGAGATGAAATAGATTATAAAAGAAATGATACAGAAAAAAACCTGGAAAGAATAAAACAATCTGAATCCAGTGTATAAAGCAAAGAATATGCATAAACAGTTTGTGACAAAGAAAATGGCTAATAAACCTCCAAATATATCCAGTCTCCCAGGTAATAAACAGTTGCAAAGATAAGCTCTTTGTCATCTGTCTGTTTGCATATTAAATTTAATTTTTTTTCAAGTCAATGCTCAATGTAAGAGAAAATTTTGTGAAATGTGTATCAAAAATTGTAGTTTTCAGGTAGAAGTTATGCTGTTGATTTGAATCTTTGTGACCCCATAAACTGCAGCACACCAGCCTTCCTTGACTTTCACTATCTCCCAAAATTTCCTCAAATTCACATCCCATCTTAAAAAAATTTTAAATTAAAACAGTGTCACTGTTTTTCACTGCAAATTCATCTTCATGTAATAGTTTATTTTCCTACCTGAAATCTCCCTGGAAATGTTAAAATTTTACTGAGACCATTTTGCTTCCAATTTCTTCTTGAATTTCATCCAAGTATATTTTTATTCCTATCACTTAATTATCACTAATAATCTTGTACTGCTGATAGGTGATTCTCTTTTAACATATTAAATAAATTGCTTATAAATCAGTTAATCAACCATGCATGTAAACAGGGAGATCTTTTGGCTCTGAGCCAGGTATTTGGGTTTCTAAGTGACTGCAGGTAAATGTTCTTGGATGTCATTCTCTGTGATTTTCTCCTGAAGTGTCTACTGGGCTCTAAGACTCACCTGGATGGAAAGGTTGAGATGGAGGTCTCTGGGTGTAAATACAAAACTTCCCCAGGTGACTGATGGTAGAGAATGAAGCTCTGTTCCCAGACAAGAAAGAAGTAAGAAGTGAAGTATGGGTCCCTGAGCAAGACTCAGGCATCCAAATGCACAAACCATGACTTCTCCAGCTCAAAGTGGAACATGCTTAGACCTAGCAGCAGTGGAGATATTTACAGCTTTGCATATCCATTGTATTTTTTCATTAGCACATTTTCCACTGTTACTGCAACCCCAAGCACATCTCCCTCATGGGAATTTATCTGGAGAGAATGGAATTTTCTGGGCTGATTTGTTCCCAAGAGACCAGTTAGATGTTAAGTGTATCCAATGCTTATTACTACTCCATGAACTCTTCTGGATTCCAAAGTTAAAACACTGAACCTTTTTACAGCCCTGAGACGATGATTTCTCCAAAGCTAAGTCTGATTGTCCCATTTGTTCTTTACAGATGTCCATCCAATGAGTACTATACAATCAGAAAACTCATTCTAAATTTTCAGAATTATTGTTCAGAGGGATTAGATAGATCATGTAGATACAAAAATCAATGAGGGGAAAGACTAAAATATCTTACACTAAAATCTGTACACTAAATATCTTACACTAAAACCTGTAAGATATTGATGAGAAAAATTGAAGAAGACAAATAGATGAAAAAATATAAGGTGTCCATGACTTGGAAGACTTAATATTATTGAAATGCTGATACTACCCAAAGCATTCTACAGACTCATGCATGCTCTATCAAAATTTCCAAACCTTTACTCATAATAAAACTCAATAAATTGAGTTCCTTAAACTGTGTAGATGAGTTGAATTCAGATAAAAGGAAATTCCTAGAAGTAAATGGACAAGTTCTCCTTCCAAAATCTGGTTAAAACATAACAATTTATTTAAATCCTGCAATCATGGGTAGTTCTTCAACCCCAGAACAGATAACACTTTTATACCTCCCTTCCTAATGATTCTTTCCAGAGCCCTCTTTATGTCTTTGTTCCTCAGACTATAGATGAAGGGGTTCAGCATGGGTGTGACCACTGTGTACATCACTGAGGCGATTGCACTTGAATGTGAGCTGTGGGTAGCAGCAGAGCTAAAGTACACTCCTAAACATGTACAATAAAATAAAGAGACAACTGAGAGGTGAGATGCACAGGTGGAGAATGCCTTATACTTCCCCTGAGCTGATGAGATTCTTTGTATTGAAGAAACTATCTTGGAATATGAATGAAGAATCCCAGTGAGGGAACCACCACCCAATATTGTAGCTGCAAAATACATCACTATCTCATTAAGAAACATGTCAGAACAGGCAAGTTGAATCAACTGATTAATTTCACAGAAAAAGTGGGGGATTTCCAAGTCTGTACAGAAGGACAATCTCAACACCATTACACTTTGTAACAAGGAATTCAGGGCACTCATCATCCAGGACACCAGAACAAGCAGACCACAGAGCTGGGGGTTCATGATGACCGTGTAGTGCAAGGGGTGACAGATGGCTACAAATCGATCATAGGCCATCACGGTCAGGAGAAACATGTCCAGCACTGCAAAGAGAATGAAAAAGTACATCTGGGTGATGCAGTCTTCATAGGTTAGTACTTTGCTCTGTGTCCTTATGTTCTGCAGCATCTTTGGGATGGTTGTGGAGGTGAAACAGATGTCTACAAAGGACAGGTTGGAGAGAAAGAAGTACATGGGGGTGTGGAGGTGGGAGTCTGAGCTGACAGCCAGGATAATGAGCAGGTTTCCAAACACAGTGATCAGGTACATGGAGAGGAACAGACCAAATATGAGGGGCTGCAGTTCTGGTTCTTTTGAGAATCCCAGAAGAAGGAATTCCAAAATTTTTGTATCATTCCCTGGTTCCATGTGGTGAATGTGACTATCAAGAAACAAAAATAACATGACTAGTTTTCTTAGAAATTAGCATTGTAAACATAGTTGAAATTCTACAATTCATATTTTTCATTTAATATTAATATCTATAATTTTTATATGAAAAATTTCCCTCAAGTGATTACATGTGCTATCTGAATACTTCATTCCACATTCAATCTTCTCTCCATAAAATCATTTATTTTAAACTTTGAAGAGAAATTATGTCACATATTTGGCAGTATAAATTGAAGACTGACTAACTTCTGGATAAAGAGCATACAGTGCTAATATACAATAGTTTGTACAGTTCAATGATGGAGGAAGAATAGAAGCAAATAAAAAATTATAAAAATTATCAGATAATGACAGGCTCTGTAAAGCTAAAAAAAATCAAGTATAAAAAAGAGACTTAATGGGTGTATTAATTTTTTGTGATAAAGATAAGCATACTTGGCCCTGGAAACCTTTCAATCCTGGATACCCAGAAGAGTAAAGAAGCAAAAAGCATTTTACCAAAAAGAAAGGAATGATATATTTATATGATCAATGTAGAACATCCTACTAGAAAAATTGACAAGAGGAATAAATTAAAAATTCACAAAGGAAAGTATTGAAACTACAACAAAAATGGAGGATTTTAAAAAGCTATCTGCTGAAATATTTTTCTAAATAAGATCAAATGCAAAACTTTTATAATTTGAAGCTCTTTCTAAGTGATATCAAATGCAAACCTTTTGTAATTTGAAACTCTGGTTTTGAGTTTTGGTTCCGAACATATTTGCTGTTTGATTTTGGAAAGTCACTGGAAATATTTTAAATGTTAATATCTTCACCCAAACAATAGGAATAGCCGTATCCATTCTCTTGGAGTAACTGACAGATTTAATGGTGGTGGTTTAGTAGCTAAGTCGCAGAAGCCTGGCAGATATAATCAGTACACACAAAAAGCTTTGCATAGTTCCTTCCTGGTGGTGGGCTTCTCTGGTGGCTCAGTGGTAAATAATTAGCCTGTCAATGCAGGAGCCACAGGAGATACAGATTTGATCTCTGGGTAGGGAAGATTCCCCTGGAGAAGAAAATGTCAACCCACTTTAGTATTCTTGCCGGAATAATCCCATGGATGGAGGAGACTGGTGAGTTACAGTCCATGGAGTCACAAAGAGTCAGACACGACTGAGCAGGCACATGCACTATGCTACAACTACTTCCTGTTAGTAAATGGTTACCTCTGGCAATGAGATTTGACTGTTTTTCTTCTTCTTCTTCCTCTCAAATGTCTCCATTGCTTTCCTATTGAGGTTCCCAATGCCACCTGTCTTTCACAGGCTGGTACCCCTGCAGCCAATATTTACACTGACCCTTAGAAACCTTTCTATATTACAAAGCAGACTGCCCAACTCCCAGACTTAATCATCTCCCAGTGTCTCCCCACTGAAGGATGAACCCCAAACGCCATAATTTCAAACTCTAGGCTTGACTCTTATTATCTGAATCACCAACTTCATCTCCTTGTGCTACCCTCACCCACATCAATCTCATAAATATTGATCTTCAGTCACAGCATCACTGGATATCACAGGCTCAAGACTCAGAGTCTATGTGCATCTGTTTCCCTCTGCTTGGAGTGTCAACCACTGGTCTATTTGGAACATTTTATTTACCACTATCTTCAAAATGTCATCTTCTTTATTAGACTGCCTATGTGATCTTGTTCATGAATAATTTTTAACAATATTCCCACATATAAAGAAATGTTTCTCTTGGAATAATTTGTAAATTTTGCTTAATTATGTGCCTATTATCCTATCTAGAATGTGAGTGCTTTGAGGCATTTATTAATATCACACATACTCCTCAACACCCCAGACTTAGTTTAGTTAGGAATAGTAGCTGAGTTAAATATACATTGCATAAAGGAATAAAACAATATGTTCTCACAGAAGTTGCTGATGATGAAAGAAGATAAAGAAGCCAAGAAATACTAACATAGGTATAGAAACATGCTGAAGAATATTTTCCATATTCGGAGATCCAGAATTATTAATGGGTCAGACTATGTAATTTGTAAGAATAAAATAGAATAGAATAAGTAAAACACAAAAGAAAATATCAGAGTGCATCATACATAATATGTTTTTTTTTGGTTCTTTTTGTTCAGATGTTCTGGAGAAGGAAACGGCAAGCCACTCCAGTATTCTTGCCTGGAAAATTCTATGCACAGAGGAGCCTGGCAGGCTACAGTCCATGGAGTTGCAAAGAGTCAGACATGACTGGGCAACTAACACACTTGTTCAGATGTGTTTGTGTCTGTATGTGTGTGCACATATGCACATGTATCTATTTTTTGTTTGCCTGTGCACACATGCTAGATGTTAAAAGCATGTAGATAGCTTGGACACTTCAAAGAAGTTTCTAATTCACTGAGATAAATGCAAGGATAGGGAAAGCAATCTTGTTGAGGGAAAGCAATACAAATAAAGAGCTCAACAGAAGAGGCAGGTTACAGAGAGAACAGGCAGCAGCATGGGCACTGAAGTGATCTCAGACTCAAGGGATACCACACTGACCACACTGACCACACTTCTTTTCCTCTTTTTACAACATCACAGTACCCACATGGAGCCCCTGATTGAACTTTTATTTCATATTTGTTCCTGTGTACTTGACTACATCTATTTCTATATGGTTCAGAAGGCTTCTCTGGTAGCTCAGCTGGTAAAGAATCAGCCTGTAATGCAGGAGACCCTGCTTCAATTCCTGAGTCAGGAAGATCCCCTGGAGAAGGGTTTGGCCACCCACTCCAGTATTCTTGCCTGGAGAATCCCCATGGGCAGAGAAAGCTGGTGAGTTAGTTCATGGGGTCGCAAAGAATCAGATACTACTGAGCAACTAAGCACTTGTGGGTCAATAGTGGATGAAGCTGACCCTTCTGTTAATTTTCTTATGTGTCATTTTCTTTATTATTTTGGGGCTTTGTTTTTGTTCTTTTTTTTTTTTTTAGGAAAAATCCATTGGTCACACTTTACTTCTCTTTTTTATACTTCACTTCTTTACTTACTTAAATTTTTAAAAAATTATAATGTATTATAGTTGATTTACAATGCTGTACTAGTTTTAGGCATACAACAAAATGATTAAGTCAAACAGAGACCTATATCCATTCTTTTTCAGGTTCTATTTCACTTTCTGATTCTTGTCCCAGATGAGGAAGCCACCTCACAGGGTGATTTATAAAATCCAATACATGCCACAAAATCTACCTTTTCTTTCATTTGGTTTATGCCTATGTACATTCTGTAATACACACATTTATTTTATTGTAATCTTTCTCCATGAAAAAAAAAAGGAGATCTGAAAAGCATGGACCTCACCTGCTTTCCTTGCTCTTGTGGCTTCATAAAGGTATTCACTTATATAAAACAGATTTTTAGAAAATGAAATTTATGAAATAAATAGGATAGCGTGCTAAATATAGTGGATACAAAACAACTAAATGAAATTGAATAAGATAGTAAGATGAATTTTTGAAAGAAATAATACATAAAATAACAATAGTCAAATTTACACAAGTGAAATGAAATGAGCAAAAACCTAAAAAAAAAAAAGAATATGCATTATAATTTTAAAAATCACTATAGTAAGCAGTGTGTAGAAATATAGATTCAACCTAAACACATATGTGAGTGAAAGTTGCTCAGTTGTGTCTGACTCTTGGTGACCCCATGTACTGTATGTAGCCTGTCAGGATCTTCTGTCCATGGAATTCTAGAGGCAAAAATACTGGCATGGGTAGCCATCCACTTCTCCAGGGGATCTTCCTAACCTCTATCTTCCTGATCTCTATCAAACACAGGTCTCCCACATTGCAGGCAGATTTTTTACCATCTGAGCCACCAGGCAAGCCCTAAATACATTTAAATAGATTCGAACATGTTTATGAAAAAAAATAAGCAATAAATTAATTGAATGCAAAAGCATGTGTTCCACAAAAGGGCAACAAATTATTGCCATTTTAAAAACAGATCTACTCATAAAAGGCAAAAGGTAGCCCTAAGCAAAAACATGTGAATAAGATAGCAATTCACATAAATGATGGTTTACTATTACTAAGGAGGAAGAAGAATTTCTATGCTTGAAAAGCAGTGGAAGGGAGGGAAAAATATGACCAACTGATAGTTTTGACCATTTCCAATTTATGCACTCTCATACAACCCAACAAATGCAGTATACACACATATAAGAATTAAATGGGGCATAGCAAACTTCCTTGAAAAATGATAACCCTTTGTTTGAAAGAAGGCAATAAAAACAAGAATAAAGAGAGACTCACATAGAGAATCTGGAGTAGGGGAAGTTGTTGAAGTCTAGAGCATTTTTCAGTGAAAAGGAGCCACGGAAATGGTGCCTGATACACTTGTGTTGGGAGGGGAAGAGTGGGGACAGAGAAGCTGCCTGTATCTCTAGTTTCAGCAACAAGACTTGTCAAGGCATTTAAAATACATTTCATTCTCTCCTTCTTCCACCTATTGGAGTGCAGTTTCTGGCCTTTTCTTAGCCAGAGGTGAAATAAATTATAAAAGAAGGGGTGTAGAAAAAAAGAATAGAACACTCAGAAGCCAGTATGTGAAACAATTTGCATGGACAGGTTACAGTAGGGAAAGTAAATAGCTAATAAGTCCCAAAATATACTCAGCCCATAGGTAGTGAACTAATTGCAAAGTTAACCCCTTTACCATATGCCTGTTTGTATAGTAAATGCAGTTTTAAAACAAGTGAACACTCAAATCTGAGTAAAGACTCTGTGACATGTGTGTCTCAAGAACTGTATTTCCAGGCAGTTACTATAGCCATTGATCTGGATCTTCCTTATGAATGCTCCAATATATTGCATCTTAAAAATTAAAAAGTAAATAAAATGTTGTCACTTCACTACAAATCACTTCTAACCAAATAGTATATTTCCTACTCCAATCAGCTGCAA